GCTTGTGTTGTTTGAGAATGGCGAACATCTCGGCCAAGTCGGACAAGTGGTCTGCTTGATGCCGGCTCTTAACCACCATATCATCTATATAAGCCTCTATTGTCCGGCCTGGCAGAGGAGCGAACATCTTGGTCACCATCCTTTGAAAAGTTGCTCCGGCGTTTTTCAAACCAAAGGGCATGTCTCGGTAACAGAAGAGTCCCCTTGGTGTAGTGAATGAGGTGATCTCGCGATCGGAGCCATGCATGGCAATCTGATGATAACCGCGGTAGGCATCTAAGAAACTGAGCCTGTTATGTCCAGCCGTCAAGTCCACAAGCTGGTCTATTCTGGGCAGTGGAAAGCTATCTTTAGGGCAAGCTCGGTTGACGATTTTATAGTCGACACAAACTAGCCACTTCACATTCTTCTTTGGTACAACCACGGTGTTTGAAATCCACCGAGGGTAGTGTACTTCCTGAATAGCTCGTGCCTTAAGCAAGTTCTTCACTTCCTCTGCAATTACCTCAGCGTGATGCAGCGCCGATCTCCTTGTTCGCTGAATGACCAGCTTGGCTCCAGCGAAGACATTTAGGTGATGGCAAATAAAACTCAGATCGAGGCTGGGCATGTCATAAGGCGACCATGCGAAGACTTCAATATTGGCCATCAAAAACTCAACCATCTCGGTCCTTTCTTGTGCGGTAAGGCTGGAGCCGAGCAAGAAGAACCTGTCCGGACTCTCTGTATCAATTCGCACTTCGACCAATTCCTCGACGGCTTTGTCCTCGGCCCTTGTGCCCACATCGTCAAGGACTCCTCGGTCTTTCGATCCCTCTATCATTTGGACGAAGCCCTTAGCAGCTTGGCTCCTGTTGACTACCACGAAGCATTGCTTCAACATGACTTGATTGCCCCAAATCTCCTCAATTGCCCCCGTAGTAGAGGGGAATCTCATCACCTGATGGAAGGTCAACGCTACGGCTTGCATAGCGTGAAGCCATCCCCTTCCAAGGATCAGGTTATAAGTAGATGGCACCTGCAACACCCAGAACTCCACTTACTTGACCACGGATCCCGCTTTGACCGGCAGGATAATCTTTTCCAAAGGCCACTCTGGTTGTGAGTTGAAACCAACCAGTGGCGAAGTTGCTGGAGCCAAGTCTGTATCCCGGAGCTTGAGCTGTTTGAATGCGTCATAATACATGATCTCAACCGAGCTTCCATGATTGATCAAGATGCGCTTGACATCGAATTCTTTGACGCGCAGTGTGACCACTAAGGCATCATTGTGCGACGTCTGAATGCGCTCTAGGTCCCTTGTAGAGAAACTAATTACGTCTTTTTCTTCGGTCTTGCCCCTTTTTATTGTGGGCTGGACCGACAAAACTTCCCTTATGTGCTCCGCTTTCTTGATCATACCTCGGAGTTCACGCACACGCGCCGGTTCCACAATGCCGTGGATAACATTGACAATGCCCTGAGGGGGTGCCTCCAAGTCATCCGGTCCACGCGGATCAACCGGGGCTTGATTTGCCTTCACGCCCCCGCCAATGTAAAGGTCCAGGTGTCCGGCTGCGACTAGCTCTTCCAAGTGTTGCCTCAAAGGCAAACAATCCTCTGTCCGGTGGCCGCACTCCCGGTGAAATGTGCAACGGTACTGCGGATTGAAACCCTTCTGTCCGTCGCCCAACTTAGCAGGAAACCAGATATAATCCTCGTCACGGATTTCACTAAGTATGCGATAAATTGGAATCTTAAAAACCGTGGTAATGCCTGTCCTGGCATTCAACCTTCTGTTTGCATCAGCGACGTCATCCCAGGGGTAGTCATCTAGGTCATTTTGACGACCTCTACCCCGGTTTTTGTGATTTGAGCCATGGTCTGATTCCTTTGCGCGATCATTCGAACGGTTTGCCTCATGTCCGACTGCGTGAACTTTTCCAGCCACTCTTTTGTCCACTACCACAGGATTTGCCTTCGCGGTGGTCACAGTAACATCATCCTCTACTCAGACGTGCTCGTTAATGCGCTGCATCAATAGCTCCATGGGTGCTGGTTGATTCATTGTGAGCGAGTCCCTCAGTCTATGTCCAATCGGGAGACCGCGCTTGTAGTGGGTGATTGCTAGGTTGGTCGGGCAATCAAGGATTTCATTAAAGGTTTCCCAATACTTGGCATTGTACGCTTTGAGGAAGTCTCCTGGTTCCATCTTGATGCTCAAAATGTGGTCTACTTCCTTCTGCGTTTTGGTGTTGGTTTTGAATCGGGTCACGAAGGCTTCCGCCAGCTGCTGCCACCTTTCGATACTTTCCTCTGGCAGCCTCTCAAACTATTTCAGGCCCAACTCACCCAAACTTGACAGGAAAATGAGGCACATGAGGGCATCGTTACGCCTATATCCGGCTATAACCTGTCGGAAGTGGTTTACGTGCATGTATGGATCGGTTTTTCCATCGTAGAGAGTAAACATGGGTTGGTAAAAGCCCGCAGGGAACTGTGTGGTCTTTATCTCGAGGGAGAAAGGGGTGGCGCTCAGTCTTGCCAAGCCTCTGTCCAAAGGGACATGCACAACTGGATGTGATGGCGGTATTGCGACTTCTTCACTAGCGCGTCCTCCTATGGGATAACCGCTGCAGCGCCGGCACCCTTTGCGCCTCCTGCTGACATGCTCGTTCTTCCAATACGTCCCTCATGTCCTCCGAACGGGTGGAGTAGGAATATCTCAACGTCATCGACGGATGTGAGGGATGGTAACTGCTGTCTTGAGTGCAAGACTTCTTTGTTGGCGGGTCAGAGTCACCAACTCCATAACTTTTGGTGATGGAGACGGATGGTGTTCGCCTCTGGTTCTGGTTGCTTGAGCGATGAGGTTGGGTGCGCTCACTGTGGTTATCCACTCCAGCAACACCCTTCCCTTTGACCTGCCACTTTAGTGCCTCCATCTCTGCCACCATCCTTCGTATGATGGCGTCTTGATCTCTCAGCTTATGCTCTAGGCACTGAGCGTTCGATTACCTTCACCACCGTTGTCTATCGGGGCTTCGCGAGTGATCAGTGCTCTTTACGCAATTGTCGCGCACATCTCTGGGGAGTCCCCTTGGAGAGGTCTCCAGACCAACCATGGTAGGGAAGGTAGGAGGACCATTTCTTCTCCGAACGGACTCTGGAGTGTTGCCGTCGATGGCGGACAGAGGGACCTTGTCGTTGTTGTTTGTCGTGAAAGATGATTGGAAGTTCTTAGAGGATAAGGTTTTGACTGTTCAATCTTCCCATAGATGGCACCAATTGTACAGGGGCCATATATCCGACGTTGCCCGCACTCCTTGTGTCCAAGCTGTGCCTCACTCCGATCGACCTGAGAACGCAATGACATTTAGCTACCCGATAGTGTGTTGCCAGAAAACCCCTCCGACGGTCAAGTTAGCACACTTAGAGAGAGAGATAAGAGAGGAGACAAAGTAGTAGGTAAGGGTGTTCCAGACCGAAGTATGGGGGTGCAGCATCGTTTATATACCGTCAGCGCGCGCTTCCGCGTCCATTTCCCTTTGGACATGAGGACCTGCTCTCCTCTCCCATTTCCTCACGTGTTAGTGCAAATATAGCTAAACACCACCTAACGAAACTGCCAAACCGCTTCAACGCGCACGGACAATCCAATCCCCTTCCTTCAATCTCGTGGTGCCGCATAACACTCTTAACCGAGCTACGCTTAACATGGAACCATGCCATCACATAATGACCGTGCTACTTGTCCAGTTTCTTTGATAACCCCACACCAAGGCTCAACCGAGCTCCTTAGTCATGACCGAGCATGAGCTCAGTCCAAGCCATTGAGCGGACTAATCTAGTCCGATTTTGAATAGTGATATCTCCCTCGGACCGACAATCCACAATCGTCCTAACTCAACCGGACTAAGGCGTTGGTCAAGTGTACACTCAATATTTGACCGAGCTGAGGGCTTCGACACCGGTCTAAACCAACTCAGCCCAATATTTGGTCGTAAAGCTCCCTCTTAAGATCAAACTCCTATAAGATTTTAATGATGGAGTCTATTCATCAATGTCAATGTCAATGGAGAACAGAACCATGGTAGATGAAGAAATTACAGTGGGCTTTGATGATGAGGCGTTGACTATAAAAAAGCTACTTGTTAGAGGGAAGAAGCAACAACAAATTATATCAATTGTTGGGATGCCTGGACTTGGTAAGACAACTTTAGCCAGAAAACTGTACAATGATCCTTACATCACACACTACATTCATAGTCGTGGATGGACCTATGCTTCTCAATTACCCAGAAAATAGATATGTTGTTGCACATTTTACGTTCTGTTAATGTCGACGAAATTGAAAACATGAGCAATGAGAAGCTAGGCAAAAAGTTGTACAAGCAATTAAAAGGCAAGAGATATCTCATTGTCATTGATGATTTATGGGATATTGGTGCCTGGGTCGATCTTAAAATGTATTTCCCCAATGACAACAATGGAAGTAGAGTTATGTTCACTAGTCGGCTCAAAGAAGTGGCTATGCATGCCTCACTTGATTGCCATCCTCATTGTCTACGTTTTCTCACTGAAGAAGAGAGTTGGGAGTTATTACAACGGAAGGTGTTTCATAATGAAAGTTGCCCTCCAAAAATGATTGAAATTGGGAAGCAAATAATGAAAAAATGTGAAGGGCTTCCACTTGCAATTGCTATAATAGCAGGACTTCTTGCAAAGAACATCAGGACACAAGAGTCGTGGAAACAAGTTGCCCAAAGTGTAAGCTCATACATTGTTAGTGCTCCAAACCAGTACT